TTCAAGAAATGTTTGATGCTGTATGTAGTTTAGGTGCAGGATTTAAAGCTCCAACATATCACATGCTACGTGGTGATTTGCTAAATAACCAAGTTGATGACGTGAAGAAACTTCTTCAGAGCTATAGAGCTGTTTGGAAGCACACTGGATGCACTATTATGGCAGATGGGTGGACGGATCGTTGTAGGCGCACTCTTATTAATTTTCTGGTTTATTTCCCCAAAGGAACATTTTTTGTGAAATCTGTTGATGCTTCTCATGCATCCAAAACTGCAGAATTATTATACCAGCTTTTTAAAGAAATAGTTCTGTTTGTTGGGCCAGAAAATGTTGTTCAAATTGTGACTGATAATGCTGCTAACTATGTTGCTGCTGGGAGGTTATTAGAGGCTGAGTTTCCTAAGATATTTTGGTCTCCTTGTGCTGCCCATTGTGTTAATCTAATGTTCCAAGACATTGGCAAGTTAGATGAAGTGATTGAAACTGTGGAACATGCTGCAAAAATCACCAAGTATGTTTATAACCATTGTTACCCGTTGTATTTGATGAGAAAATTTACATGTGGGAAAGAAATACTTCGTCCTGCTCCAACCCGTTTTGCCACAAATTTCATTGCTTTGCAAAGTATATTGGCTCAAAAAGATGCTTTAAGAGAAATGGTAAGATCAAGAGATTGGACAAGTTCAGCTTATTCCAAAGATGTCAAGGCAAAAAGATTTGTGGAACAAGTGTTAGACTCTAGATTTTGGAAACAATGTGCTGATATTGTCAAACTTACTGAGCCACTTGTACGTGTATTACGTATTGTTGATAGTGAAGATAAGCCTGCCATGGGTTTTCTTTATCAGACCATAATTAAAGCTAGAGAGGAGATGGAGAAGAGGTTTCAAAGAAATAAGAAGAAGGTTGAGCCATATTTGAAAATCTTAGATTCTCGTTGGGATTCACAGCTTCGTAAAAATTTGCATGCTGCAGGTTATTGGTTGAATCCAGGATGTCATTTCAATGTAGATGAATTTGAAAAATATGAATTCACAACATCAGGCCTTTTGGATGTCATTGAGAGGTATTCTTATGGAGATTCTGAGTTGCAATCAAAATTGACAAATGAGATGAGGATATTCAAAGATGCTCAATCTGATTTTGGAAGGCAATCAGCTTTACGTGAACGAAATACAGTGATGCCAGGTAAAATTATTAACTTATTATAGTTGAAAAATATGTTAGTATGAATTTATGAATACTAATTTATTTTATTTCATTCCAGATAAATGGTGGGAATGTTATGGCTTTGGTGCACCAAATTTGAGAAAATTAGCAATTCGCATCCTAAGCCAAACTTGTAGTGCCTCAGGTTGTGAGTGAAATTGGAGTATATTTGAGCATATTCATTCAAAAAAGAGAAATAAGTTACACCATAAAAAGCTTAATGATCTTGTCTACGTTTGTTGCAACTTGAATCTGCAAACAAGGTATTATTATGTTCATTCAATTTTTACATTCTTTTATTATATTATATGAATCACATAAATTTCCTAATTTTTTTACTTAACATGAAATCTGATTAGTCTATGATGGCAACTTGATTGATCATTGCATTTGATTAGACTCAGCTATACTATATATTGGATATACGACTCTGCTACAGTTTTTGAATGATGGATTGTAGGTTTCTAATCTTAGATATACTGGATATTTGAAATGGTGGAATCCTGTAAATTGAATATTTTTAATGTTTATATAAATACGTATGTGCAAATATTTTTCTGATGTTGAAAATTCAAAAATTTAGGGATCAAACGAAGCGTCAAAATTATGACCCAATTGATTTGGCAATGTTTGAGGAGCATTCTGATTGGATTTTGGAGATGTCACCAACATTATTAAGTGATGAAGAAGAGGAAGTTTTACGTCAAAACATAGACTTGAATGTCGTTCCACCAGTTGGAAATGATATTGGTATGCTTTTGTACAACATAATAATTAAAATTTTATTATTCAATTTGATTTTGACGTAATATTTTTCAGTAACTTACATGAAAATTTAATTGTCATAGATCAATTAAATCTGGATGAGGATGAGGATAATGATGTAGATGCACACAGTGTGGAAATTACAGACCAAAATGCAAGCAATGTTGGTCAAGATTTAAATGAGTTTGGTGGAGAAGGAGAGCTAATTGACACAACTTTGGCACCATGGGCATAGTGATAGCATGCAGTTTGATTTATTTGTTCTTATTTTGTTCAATTTACTGATTAAGTATGAACTTGTAATAGTGTGATAGGGTAATTTTTGAGCATATTTAATGAATCTTGCTTATCTCTTTTAGATATGGAGAATATTTTAAATTTATATATTTATATATATTTATTGATATCCGGGTCAACCGGTCCGACCAGTGAACTACCGGTCCGACCAGTGACCCAGTACCCCGACCGGGTCGATGCCCGGGTCGGGTCTAACAACACTGATTTATAGTACATCATTATTTCTCTCAATTTGCTATAATCTCCAAAGTTGCAAATAAAGTTTCTCCAATTTTGAAATGTGACATGGAAACACTCTCATTTTAGGATTGATTAGTGTTGCCTAATTGCTATAATTTGAGAAGTTGCAAAGCAATGTTTTTCGTTGAACATGCTACATGTAGGATATAGAATTACTAGTGTTATTTATTGGCGTGGTAGATACAACCAAAGGAGATAAAATCTTTCATATAAAAATTTCATATGAAATTTTTATATATTTTTATATTAATGTTGATTGTACTTGTACTCCACCTATTTAATAGGTCAAAAGAGAGAAATAAACATCAGAATTTCACGTAACTTCATAAAATTTTAACATGAGAATATCCGCTTTATAGCGGTAGTTTTATTAGCATTTTTGCAATTTGGTTTGCAGAGCACAGTGTCCTTCACCATAGGGACATTCATTGATATGGTACGGATTTGGATTTTTTTATGTAGAAAAATAATCACAATCATTTATATAAAAATCATATATATTTTTTCACTTATCTTATCGTCAATGAATGATTATGATATCATATGAAAACATCCAATTCCATACCATATACATTTAGGGGTATGTTTTTTTGATGTTATAAGAGATAACATACATCTCTTACTCATACATCAAAAATTATGTTAACATTTATTTATTTACTTTTTTAAAAATAAGCTTCACATGTCTTGTATTTATGACATAAGTAACAAGTCCTTAGATAAGATTTGTATTCCCCCGTACATTTATGCAAATAATTTCAGAAAAAAGATACCAATCGTCCTTCAACGATCGTGTCATGTCTGCGCAGTCTTTACTTTCCATCGTGTCGTGTTTGTGAAACGGTTTTTATTTCCACCTGACTTTCTTTTCCCTTCATTTTCAACCCAAATGATCGTTGAAAACAGTAAAATAAAAGACGAGTATAATATGTGTCATTTTAAAAAATGTAAAGTTATGTCATTTTAAGTGAGAAAATAAAATAGATAAAGGAGAAGAGAGAGTTGACAAAAAATAAAGATTTAGATCTCACCTCCTTGTAAGACTGAAAAGATATAAGTTGACAAAAAATAAACACTCTTCTCATAAAAGATAAATAATTTAATAATTTATGAATATCATCATTGTAATATGAAAAGTGGTTATTCTATGCACGATATAAATTTTACAAACATATGCTATAAATTAATCGCTGATGGTGAAGCAAATATAATGGCTTCTGCCACTTGAGGTCCCTTGAAGGCTATAGAAGCTTGGTAAAAGATAATTATGTTTTACTACCAAAAAAAGAAAGAAAGATAATTATGTTTTACGATTATTAGAAATAAAATAAAAGCATTAAAAAGGACATCACTTACTACCTTAAGATTTTAGATTGAATTGATTCTTTACATGGTATTAGAGTTTTTAGTGATATGTTGACAACAAGATTACGAATTTGATTTTTACTACTCTTTTTAGATAAAATTAAAAAAAAGCATAAGTCAAACCAAAAAATAAGCTGGGCTCGTGCCCAAAGGACTCATACATGAAGGGATTTGTAAGAAAAATATAAAATAATTAATTTAACTTCATGCAATGTCTTTCAATATCTTAAAATTTTGAATTGAAGTGACGCGTATCAACAATTTTATCATGTTTATAAAGTCATAAATAATATTTTTTTCACGATCGTTATTACTTATTACTGACTAATCAAGTTTTCCGAATATTTCCACAACGCGGGTGAAAAAAGGATCAGCTTAATAATTACTCAGTTCTGTTCCAAGAAAAATTCAAACCCATATTCTTTTAACGTTCATTCTTCCCTAATCTCATTATTACTACTTGAACTATCCATAGAGTTATTTCTTTATTTTCATGTGTAACATTTTGTAATATAAAAATCTTCAATTAACTTTTTTACTATTTTTTATCTAAAATTCTTAGATGATCTTTCAAATCTCAAAAGATTGGTTGCCAATTGAACTTAGTCAAATTAATAAAGACCATGGTCCTGTGACTGACACTGCTGTATGAGGAAGGACCGGAGCGCCGTCAATGATTTGAGATTCCCCCCATTAAAGCATTAAACACACGATGATAACACATATTCAACTAACTCGAGGGGCGAACAGCGTGGTGTATTCGATCCTTGGTAAATGTTTTTTTTTGGGATAAGAGGTGATTTCCTTGCATTTAAGGATCGGTCGTAGGATTAATCTCATTCTTTCTTCAATGATAATTGTCGAATACACAGTAGCTGAAAAGAATTGAATAGGGATAGCTCTGTCTTAATATTAAAAATAAATAAATCAAAAGTAAACATTCAACTCTATAAAACAGTTTAGAGATTCAGATTCCCCCGTTAACACACATTATTTACCTTGACAAAATTGAGGTTGTTACAGTGTCCTACTGTAACAACAACACTATTGTCAATTTGACTACAAGACATAACCTTAATTTTAACTAATAAGTCCAAACATAAATACAAATGGTCTATGATGCTCTCAGAACCGCGTTCCGCGTTACTTCATTTCATTCCATTCCTTTCAATCACTCCACTGAACCACTTTCTCTCTCATGAATCAGTGACCTCCATGAAAGGCTTAACCTTATGCTTCAGATCGAAGTGACCTCGCGCGTGCACACTAACACCCATGAGAAAAAGATCCCACCTTGTAATCCGTTACTCCCATAATGGAAGACCCCACCTCCTCTGCCGCCGCCGCCACCGAAACCGAACACCACCATCAACATCAACATCAGCATCAGCATCAGCATCAGCATCAACCACCGTTTTTGAATAGAAACAACCGAGTCAAGCGACCCGTGTTCAAGGTGCTGCCGGGTCAGATCGCGTTCCGCTTGGTTTGCCACGCGTCCGTCGTGGGAGGTCTGATCGGCAGCTCCGGCGCCATCGTGTCACAGCTCCGGCGTGAAACTGGGTGCAAAATCCACTGCGAGGATGCTGTACCCAACACCGACGACCGGGTCATATTGGTCATCGGGTCTGTGTCGACCCGAAAAGGGATTACATTTGGTGATGGGGTTGATGGGGAAGTTGAGGTTTCGAGTGCCCAGGAAGCTGTGCTTAGGGTTTTTGAGCGAATATGGGAGCTTGAGGCCGAGAAAGGGGTTAACGCTAACAGGACCTTCAACGGGGAGGTTTTCTGTAAATTGCTCGCACACACCTCTCAGATTGGTGCCGTTGTAGGTAAAGGAGGGAAGAACATAACCACCATTAGGAACAATAGTGGTGCCAAAATTAGGGTTTTCCCTCCTCCACATTGTGCCGCTAAAGACGAGGAGTTAGTTCAAGTGAGTTCATTTTGTTTATTTTTTATTTTTTATTTTTTTGAGATTATGAGAAATCTGGATATATAATCCTGATTCACTCTTTGATGAACCTTAGTGGTTTTGTGAAAGACAAAGGGGTTTTAGCTGTTAGCGTTTAGATATGCGTGGAGTTTGAAGCCAAATGAAAATAACATGACAAATATTATGTTTTTAATGGTCAACGCCTTCACCTTTATTTTTATTTTATTTTTCTCTGGAAACTTGCATCTTAAATGCTGTATCGCATAATTTGAGATTGTGGGCAAGTGGCGTCTGTTGCAAAATTACAATGGAGAACTTGCAAGTACTTAACGAATTTAATCTGATCTGTCTCTTTGCCAAATGTCAATATTGAATTCCCTAGTAGTACAAATTGTCATTTAATTTCCCTTGTAATATGGGCACGCCTTCTTTGTTTTGTTCCTCCGTTTGCATCTCATCTGATACGGTGAGAGTATACGTGCTTTTCATGTGGCCATCTACCCTTAATTTCTGCATATAATTTTAATGGGGGATCAAGTTGTCAACAAAGAAATTATAGATCCCAGTTCCATGTTTGGAATTTCTTTTCAGCAACTCCCGACATAACACCATTCACTTGTCATTGAAATGACTATTTAAATTTCTTTTTCTTTATCTGGGAGCTTGTTTGATTGGCAGATAACTGGTGCAATTTTGGCTGTAAAGAAAGCGCTGATTGGCGTATCTAATTGTCTTCAAGATTGTCCGCCATTAGGCAAAGTTCCAGTACCTTTGAGCACAACAACTGTTAGTTCTTCTGATAGGTCATCCCTTGATCCACATGCTGAACTATTTCCTAACCTTAATTCATGGTTACCATCCATGGAAGGTTTATCTATTTCTGATGCTTCAAAACGGACAACTAATTCTAATGGAACATCTAGCAATGACTCAAAAGGTACAGAAAATGAAGTTGTGTTCAGACTACTTTGCTCTAATAATGTAGCTGGGTGTGTGATTGGCAAAAGAGGGACAATAGTCAGGGCTCTAGAAAGCCAAACAGGTGCTTCTATCATATTTGCAGCTCCTTCAAGTGAGTTTGCAGAGCGCATTATCACCATTTCTGCTAAAGAGGTTAGTCATATGAGGAAATTGCAATATGCTACAACTGACTCTGGTAATAGTATTTCCAGGATTTTTTTGCCCCCTTTTTTCTTGTGCATATGTTCATGCACTGACAAATAATCATGCATTTGATAGATCTGTATGTAAACACATTTTGGATTGCCATAATTTTTATTGTTGATTTAGAATTGGCTTTTGTTCATCCAGAACCTTGAATCTAGTTATTCTCCTGCACAAGATGCTGTTATTCTTGTCTTTGCTAGAATTATTGAAGATCACATTGGAAAGGGTTTTCTCCCAGTTTCTAGTTTGGAATCACCTGTTACTGCGAGACTTTTAGTTGCATCAAGCATGGAAAATTGCTTGAGTGGCAATGAAGGTCAGGTGATTTCAGAATTGAAAGGAGTAACTGGGGCTGATATACAAATATTGCATGGAGAGCTGATTCCAAATGGTGCTTCAGATAATGATGTGATAGTACAGGTACTCTTATTTATTTTATATAATTCAAGTTAACTTTGTTTTTTTGAAGGATCTTAAGGGTTTAAATTTCTCACCTAACACTATGAGCTTCTTGTAATCTTTTAGATCTTGATTTTGTTATCATATGCTGATATCCTTTCATGATAAAATGATAGCTTTTATTTGTTGCGAAATTTCCAATTTAAATTTCCCTAAGATGGAAAACAGTTAACAATTATACTTGGCAGAAGCTCTGCTTAACTTATGCAAATGTATTCAATAAAATAAAATGGGAGACATCCAACCAAAAAACACTCATCATCTGTTAGGTTCTTTCAGGTACCTTCTGTGCATTGTTGTATATTACTTTGCAGTATCCTTCCAATCCTTGTTCTTTATGCTTAGTGATTGATGTAGAGTGATGCTTTTGTGTACCAGCATAGGTTAGGTGTTAACTGATAACAAACATCTTATTTTTTTTTTATTTTTTTTGGTATAAACAAACATCTTATTTTGTTGCACTGGGTTGACTACTAAGGCATTCAGGCACTTAGAATAGACTGAGTTTCTTGTTACTGTCTATTTTATGCTCCAACAATATTTTGTTACTGTCTCCTAGTCAAGCTCGTACTCAGAGAGGATATTTCATGCAGATCACTGGTGGGTTCAGATGTGTACAAAATGCTCTGCATAAAATCACTGGTAGAATCAGGGATAATCTTTTGCCAAATGAGGTGCCTGCTGAAGCAAGAATGAAATCCAACTGGAAAGTGAATAAGGATCCTGTAAAGGGTAATAATTTTTCCCATGGAAAATCCGCTTTTCCTTCTGGGAGGTTTCTGCAGCAGGTTTCTTCACCTCCTTTGTGTTCACTCTCTTCTGATTTTTACTACAACTCTTTCTTGTTCTTCCAAGGCTTTAGAAAGAGATTATTTAGGAGTGTGTATATTTGTAGAATGCAGGGGTGCATGCTGAAACAATCTCAGATAATGGAGAGTTACATACGGATTTAAATGAGAATTTGGAACGTGGCAGGTCAGTAAAATGCAATACCGAATATAAGTTTCTTTTTTGCCATTCTTTTCCCTTTCTTTTTTTCTTGTTCCAAACTTAGCAAAGTTGAGCATTTTGCGCTTATTTTCCGTTATACAGTAAAAGTTTGTTTGTTGCCCTAAAAGTTCTCTTTAGAGAGCTATCATGTTTTTTTGTTGTAGTGATCTTAGGATTTAGAGATCAATCTTATATTCAACTGGGGACAGATATCAAGCAGATAGGCACATAAACTATATAGCTGTAATTTACATTATCATAAAAAATAGATTTAAGTAGGTTACGTTTTGTCATATAAATATTCAATTAGTAAGGTCTTAGATTCCCAAATCCCAATTATTTGATATTGAACCCAGTGGCAAAGTATATTAACTACAAGTCAATAAAACAAGTAACACATTGCTGTGCAGACAAGTATCTCAATTTGTGAAGACATCTTCAGGCTTTTGATCTTTCTCTCAGCCTTTGTGCTTGATAAAATCTTTTGGCAGGGGAAACAAGCTTGCTACTGTGACAAATACTACCGTGGAGATTGTAGTTTCTGAACATGTCTTTGGTTCTGTTTATGGTGAAGATGGCGGCAATTTGGATCAAATCAGACAGGTGCTTGACAATTCCCTTTATAAAGATATGATGCATTATTAATTGGGGTGAATAGGGTTTGGGTGGTTATGCTTTCTTCTGATTAATTGGTGTGATTGGATCAATTTGGATTTTAGAGAACTAATAATTTTTAATTAGGTCATCCCCCCCAAAAAAAAGAAAATAAAAATTTTATTAGTTAATATCTATGTAAGAAACTTGCATTCCGTTTTGTTGCATTTGTTTGGTACTGCAACTGGCCAAAAATTAAGGTAGTCTTTGATTTGGTTGCACTATGGTAAATTTATTGGCCATTATCAAAGTTTAGCTTTGGCATTTCATGCATATTATTATTTGAGATGGAATAACATAGATTTCTGGAAATTACGGACATTCTTTTGACATCAATAAATTGTTATTGATAATGTTGAGAATTTCATGATCATGATTAGCTTTTTTATGTTTTTGAGATTGTCCACAACAGAAAATTTTAAGTGCATATATATCTATTTGCTACATAAGCTCATACACGCATAGACATATTAATTCCCAAGATATTACCAAATTTGGATTTATGTTTTAGTACACCATAAACAATGTGAATCCTGTTTGTTATTATACTACTATTAGTCTTCTACTTAAGCAGTTGTTCTCGAGATGTTTCTGGAATCCTGAAATGGTTTTACAATGAAGTTGGTATTAATATGCGTCTAGAGTTGTGGGACCAGATTTCAGGTGCAAGTGTTACTGTTTATGATCCTTGCGTTGGTACAAGTGGAGGGAGGGTTGTAATATCTGGGACACCTGATCAAACCTTTGCAGCGCAGAGCTTACTTCAAGCCTTTATTCAAAGTGGACAAATAAGTTGATGATGGAAAGCAGCATTTCATCATGAGTTCTTCCTATATAACAACGACAACCTTCACTTTGTAAATATGGATTCACTGTTTTCCTTAAAAGATGATGCTTACTTCCTATAGACTTACAAAGATAGATTTTGTTCGGTTTCTCTCTCACTCTCTCTCTCTCCCCCTTAAAAGGGGTGGGGGAGTTGTCACTGTACAATTCATCATTTTGCTCCATGACTTATAAAAGTTCATCCTCATCTTTTATTTATTTATTTGCTTTTGATATTTTTATTCATATGTCCATTTTTAATACTAGAGTTTACGTACACAATAATAGGTGAACTTTATACACAACATTTGATATTGCGTGAACAATTAAAAAAAAAAAAAAAACTGATGAGTAAGTTGGAGAACCTGAAATAACATTGTCGTATTATTTTACTAGTTGAACAAACTTCTGTTTCCTTGTATGGTTAAATTTAATTTTAAATATCTTTGAGATCATATCAATACTTTATCATATTTTCGGATATAATGTAACAATGTGACGTTCTAGTGTATACTATTGTTGATAGTATAAATCATCTCTGATTTTGACTCTTTTGAAAGTGATCATTTGTGATTTTAATTCTTGTTGATATGCTTAAATTTAACAAGTAAACAATTTTTCTTTTTTACTAAGAAATGAAAGAAATCAAAGACATGAAGCGAACTTGATCGGGGTTGGTGAAGCTCGTTTCAACTCCTGAAAATCTTCTCATTAACATTATATGGGTAAGTGGATTAAGTTGTTCACCAGATAAATTGAAGCTTCTAAGTTGGCTAAAACCCTTGTGTCCCAACGTTTCATTGAAGTTTTAATTTGTTTTGTTTTTGTCTCTCTTTTTGGGCAAAAAAAACTTATTAATTGCGATTTTAAAATAATTTACCCGTTTGATGGCATTTTCAAAATATCCGGTGTGCAACTCACTATATCTCTAACAAATAATTTAATTAATAATTAATTATTATTCTCTATGTACTAATTACTATTCATTATTATTACACCCCATAAATATGTAAAATATATTCTACCTGAAAATAATTATAATAACCCTATTTCTACCTAAAAATGTTGCATCTTTTGATACGAAAGATGGTTCTCTAAAGCCAATTAAATGCTCTGGACTTGATTTTGTCAGGAGATGGAAATAGAGGTTTGAGACAAATAGTATGGACCAAGGTTATATGAAGTCATTTTAGCCTTAGACAAGCAGAGGATGAAAGAGGGAGGTGAATTGAGCTTGATTATGGTCGAGGTGAAACTTTAGCAAAGTAACAGTAAATTAAAATGATGGAGAAGATGATGCTTTTAATAAGGTAAAACCTTCTATTTATAGGATGAGGGAGATTTCCTCTAAGCAAAGGAAGTGTGAGGTTATTTCAGCCATGTGGGCTCCATTATGGTGTGAGATAATATGATCCCTAACATGAAAAAAGTCATATATGCATGGAATATGTGAGAGATACATATATTGAGGAGCTACATACTTCGCATATTATGTTTGAGGCCTTGTCAAGTAACCGTTTGGGCCAACTGGGTAAGGCCATTTGGCCAGTGTAAAACAGAAATAATCACTAATATTGTTTGCAGATGTTTGTGTTTTTTTTTTTTTTTTTTGGAATAAACATAACTTATATTAGTTGATTGAGTTTTTTTAAATAAAATATAACATGTTACTTAAATGGCCCTATTTTGGATTGGAAAAATTACTCGTGGAGCAGCACCATACTATTATATATAAAGATTCCAAAGACGTTAGAATAGTTTTGTGAAAGAAGAGAAACGAGTACGGTTGTTAACAACTTCACATAAACCTCAATTTATCTTGTCTGTTCTTTTCTTCATTTTATTTTAATAAATATATTGAAGAAGAAAAATAAAACATGAAAATATGAATTTCTATTCCTCTCTGATTGCACAATGCGCGCACACAAAATCCTTAGCTACCCTTAGAGCAGTTCACACCCACGTCATCAAGTCAGGTTTCTCGTACTTGTTGTTGGGCCACAAGCTCATTCATGGCTACATCAAATGCGTTAGCCTAGCTGAAGCACGCAAGTTGTTCGACGAATTGTCCAACAGACACATAGTTACTTGGAATTCGATGATCTCTTCTCATGTCAGCCATGGGAAGAGCAAAGAAGCCGTTGAGCTCTACGGCAACATGCTTGTGGAGGGTGTTTTACCTGATGCGTACACGTTCTCTGCTATCTTTAAGGCTTTTTCAGAGTTGGGTCTCCTCCGCCATGGCCAGAGGGCTCATGGGTTGGCTGTGGTTTCGGGTTTGGAGGTCTTGGATGGGTTTGTAGCTAGTGCACTTGTTGATATGTACGCCAAGTTTGATAAAATGAGATATGCTCATTTAGTGTATGACCGTGTTTTGGAGAAAGATGTTGTCTTGTTCACTTCATTGATTGTGGGTTATGCTCAGCATGGTCTAGATGGGGAAGCTTTAGAGGTTTTTGAGGACATGGTCGATAGGGGAGTCAAGCCTAATGAGTACACTCTTGCAAGCATCTTGATTAGTTGTGGTAATCTAGGGGGTTTAGTTAATGGTCAGTTGATTCACGGCCTTGTTGTTAAGTCTGGTCTAGAATCTGTTGTTGCTTCACAGACTTCACTGCTTACCATGTATTCAAGATGCAGCATGGTTGAGGATTCCATAAAGGTGTTTAATCAGCTTGCTTATGCAAGCCAGGTGACCTGGACATCTTTTGTAGTGGGTCTTGTGAAGAATGGGAGAGAGGAGGTTGCTGTGTCAATATTCAGGGAAATGATTCGTTGTTCAATAAATCCAAATGCTTTCACATTGTCCAGTATTCTTCATGCATGTTCAAGCCTTGCAATGCTTGAAGTAGGGGAACAAATCCATGCCATAACCTTGAAAATAGGATTAGATGGAAATAAGTATGCTGGTGCAGCACTGATTAATTTGTATGGAAAATGTGGAAATACAGATAAAGCAAGGTCCGTTTTTGATGTATTAACTGAGCTAGATGTAGTATCCATCAATTCAATGATCTATGCTTATGCCCAAAATGGTTTCGGATGTGAGGCACTTCAGCTATTTGAAAGAATGAAAAAATTGGGACTTAAGCCAAATGGTGTGACATTTACCAGCATTCTCTTGGCATGCAATAATGCAGGATTAGTTGAAGAAGGCTGTCAAATATTTGCTTCCATTCGGAATGATCACAATATTGAGTTGACAAGAGACCATTTTACTTGTATGATTGATTTGCTAGGGCGGTCTAGGAGACTTGAAGAGGCTGCAATGTTGATAGAGGAAGTGAGAAATCCAGATGTTGTACTATGGAGGACAATGCTAAATGCATGCAAGATTCATGGAGAGGTAGAGATGGCAGAGAAAATTATGAGAAAAGTCCTTGAGCTTGCTCCTGGGGACGGGGGAACTCATATCCTCTTGACAAATCTTTATGCTTCAGCTGGAAAATGGAACCAGGTGATTGAGATGAAAAGCACAATAAGAGATTTGAAATTGAAGAAAAGTCCTTCAATGAGTTGGGTTGATGTTGATAGAGAGGTTCATACTTTTATGGCTGGAGATTTGTCTCACCCAAGAGCTCATCAGATTTTTGAAATGTTGAATGAATTAATAGAGAAGGTTAAAACTCTGGGTTATAATCCTGATACCAGATTTGTGTTGCAGGATTTAGATGAAAAGAAGAAGATGAGTTCTTTATATTATCACAGTGAAAAATTGGCTATAGCTTTTGCCTTGTGGAAGACTGGTGGTAGAACTACTACTATCAGGATTTTCAAGAATCTTAGAGTTTGTGGGGATTGTCACAATTGGATAAAATTTGTTTCTCTACTTACTGGGAGAGATATCATTGCCAGAGATGCCAAGAGATTCCATCATTTTAAAGGAGGGCTATGTTCCTGTAAAGATTACTGGTGAATCACATTTGATATATACTAACCCCTCTAGATGCCTACTTAGCCCACACATCGTATCTAGCCTGTGAAGGAAAGGTAAACCATGCATGATTATTCATCTGGACCATTGTCTTATCATAAGTTTTAACTTTAATTAGTTATACCATCCCCAACACAGATCTGTGTTCAATACTTAATAAAGATGTAAATCTCAAAATTTTGGACCATTGAAGATCTGGGTTTAATCCGTAAGGAATTCCTAATTCAATTATTTCTTTAAGATAAATGCTTCAATGTGGTATATAACTTAGTTTGGCTCTGATTCCTTCATTTGTTTTCAAACAGAAACAAACAAAAGTATAAGAGAAAAGGTATACGTATGATCAAGTCTTCCCTTCTCTTAGATTTTTGATAAAATTGAAATTTCTTATTATAAAGTAATCAATTGTAGCTAAAACAAGAAAATTTTAGATGTACATAATTTTTTTCTGAGATTTTTTTTTTTAATTTCCCTATTTCTGTAAATGTGCTATCCCAACATGAAAACTGTACGATATATTAGACTTTGATATTGTGTTAATTGTGACTTTTTGAGTTGTTAGAGATCTAATATAATTCATGACATAGTATTATAGTCTCTATGATCAAATCCTTATTTTTCCTATTTTTCTAATAAAAGGTTAAATTTTAACATAAGGTAGGTGGGTATGTGCATTGTCCATGCTTCAAACATAAAGGGCTCATTATGAAGGGGTGTGTTAGGGATATAATATAAAACCATTCATGTGTCTTCACTTAACTACTTAAACTTTTGGAATATTTGGTTCATGACATGAGTTTTCATCAATATTTGTTTTACAAGACAACCTTCCAAACATGCAATATTTTCTCAACTTTGATTTTAAGCTACGCAAAAAGTGAATCAGTGACGATGGGAATGGACTATCTATGAAGTTAGATTAGCCGGTATTTGTCTTTTAACAGATTCCGGCAGAGGAATTCGACCGAGTGGTAACTGTTTGAGCTTCTGCTAGTAATTGGAACCTTGTCATTTAAATGATGTTATTGGTGAGTAAGGCTAATTAATCACTGATGAATATCCAGCATGAACTGAATCGATATTGATAATAAAGTCACTACATCATGACTCTGAGTTGACATCAAGACAGGGTCAGTGACTGGGTTCAATTATTGAAAAATTGATCGGCAAATTTGTATCTTTAATTTTGTGACTTGCATGATTTTGTTGCAAGGCAGCTAAAGTCAGTATCTCTTATTTCTGTTGCATGATTTTACAAAGGTAGCTAT